CCCAAAAGATTTTTTTCAAAGGTTAACAATTTTGACATTATTAGCTAACAGAACTTATCTCCTTTTGAAGAAAGCCCCAGTGCAATTGACCTCTCACAGGTGTTGACATGATAGCATCTGACTTTTTAAATTGCTAGCAAATTCTTGATGGAGAGGCAGTGGTGGGAAGAATTAAAATGGACCATAATGGAAATAAAATCCCAGAAACAAGCCAACTGGTGAAAGCAGACCTTCAGGGTGATAACTTAGTACTTTTCTGTATCACTACACATAGAAACATGCTTGTCCAGCTCATCTGCATTTCTTTTTAAAGTTTTATATTGTTTTGACAAGACCTGCTACCTTTCTTCATCTTTTCGCCCTTAACGGGTGAACTTAAACTTGTACCAGTCTGTCTGGAGATTTATTTGTAAACTTTCCCACATTACAAGCAATATTTATGTGAAAAATTGAAAGGTGCAACGAGTGACATTTAACACTAATTGGTTTAACAGAAAATTCAATCAACTGTTTTTTGTATTGTATCAAATCTGGTATTAATGCTATCGAAGCTGTTTTGATTGTTAATGTTCCCTGGTTATGTGTTGTAACAATTTGGGAAGCCTGACAGAGGCCTAACTGCTTAGTTATTCCTTTTGCTACAAACTTCCATCCTGTTTTGACAGACATGGTTATCAGATCTGGCTAGGCAGCTCGTGTTTAACTTTGTTAACGGTGTTTAAAATTCACTGAATGACTAAATATAGACTGCTTTTAGCCAGGTATTAAACTACTTTTAATCTGCACCAAGCTTAAGAAGCTTTTATCTAAAATCAAAATTTGATATTTACAACAGAGTTCTTGTGAAATACGACATAATTCACTTTCTCTTCGGCCTTGCAAAAAACATACATATGTAGAATTAAAAAAGTATGGATTACAATTCCCAAAGGTAAAAAGTAGTATATCAGTGGCTGACTGAATGAAGCACAGACACCTGCAGCTCCATTTACTATAAAAATTTTGTTCTGATTAATGTAGTCCTGAGGTACTGGATTGAAAAAAAAAAAGGTACTCAAAAGATTAGGAAGAACCTCCTAGGTTTCTGACATCAATTAATTGAGGCAACTTTTTAATAAAACTACTTCAGTAATATCATGTCTTAGCCAGTTATTTCAAGGGAGAGAGTCTTTTTTTGAAAAAGTGGACCTTTCATTCTTTTATTTGACCTAAAATGGTAAAGGCCATGCCTTTGAAAATAAATTCATTATGCAGTTGTAAAAAGTTCCTTTATCATTATCTATAATCAAGTGAAATACCCTTCCAAGTTACTAAAGTGCCAAATTAAATCTAATGGGTCATTCCACTGATGGCAATGAACAACTACAAATGGAAAGATAAGATCAAGTTTTCTTTAATCCCTTTGCCAGTCACTTTCATTTTTACTGTCAAAACATGCAACATAGTACTACTAGTACATATACAATCAAATGCATTGTACATATGTCACACTTCTGAACACAACTTTTATCTTTTACTATTACTCATAATGTAAAAAGTTTCAACATGAACATACATGTTGACTGATAAAAAGGTCACATCCCTGCACTATAATTAATAAAATACGTTTGACTTACATGTAGTCGATATTATTACTTAAACATCAGACCTATTCCCCCATCAAAAAGCAAATAGGTATGGAAAAGATGTGTAACTTAACTACATCTTAACGAATAATTCACAGCGTAACATTCCCAATGACACAATCCATTACCTTTCAGGTTTGACCTTTCCTGTTGTACCTGTATTTATTTTTTGTAAATAACACTGCTCGCTGGTCCAATCCACCCGATTTATATTAAAAAATAATACTGTCAGTCACATACAAATATCTTACACGTTTACTATGTCTACAGCACATGGCATATCTAGATGAGTAATACCGTCAACAACCAATGTCGGGATTCCAATTTATTGTTTGTCACCGCCTTAGTCATCCGGCAAGCGCCGAAAATGGAAATGTCTGGGACAACATGCCGTCATTGGCACACCCACGCGGGGGCAGTTATTCAAAGTATGTTTAAAAAAGACAAGTTATGTTAAGAAAATGTTCGCTCACCTGTTTGTTGTCAACGTGTTGTAGGGTGTCCCGTATGTTTCGAAATTTAAACCCCTTGCTTAGAGATCAGCGTACTTGTTGCACGCCCCGATCGCCGGCGAATGTTTGTGCCCTGGATAAATGATGGGCAGATGACGTCACTTTACCGCAAAGAGTGGCTAAAAGTTGCATCCGTTTAACATGTTTTGTGCAGACACAAATTATTCAACATTAGAATTCTTTTTGCCTCAAAATCGCTCATTTTGTCCACCAAATGTCACAGAAGGGCAAACAAAGTTTGTTAACTCATACAAATGTTTTGATATATTAAAACAGTATATTTGTCATCGACACTGGAGCGTCTTCGTTTCAGCAGGAGTCATTTATTCAAAATATAGTTTTTATAAAGAACAATAACTTGTCATATCAGATTGCTTAATATAAATAACAACCATTTACTCATTTTGGCTTAATTTAGACATAAAGAGTAAAGATTTTTCATCTTATACTAGATTTTTTGTACACAAATTATTTCGACAACTAAACGCAGAAAGATCCGAGCAACATTAGATCCAGAAACCGAGGGTCTTTCAAAGTTTTACTTCCCTTCGCAAGAAATACTGATACATTTATCATGATACTCTTGTAAAATTTATATAAGGTAAGAATGCACTAAGGTGCATATATATTTTGTACGTCATGTGTTTTTCAATGAAATATTTTGAGTTGGTACCAGTGTTTGTTTGTGTACACTACGTGAGGGGCCAGATGCGAAAACCAGCCAGTTGAACACGGGTAAATTTGACTAAGATATTGTAAATTGAACGTTCATCTGAACTAAAATGATTTTCGGATTCTCATTTTCTTTTACTTCTATTGATTCCATCCGGCTACCGTGCATTTTAAAATGATTGTAATTGCGTTTCTTTAAAATTTCCTGAAAAAACCTACAACTCGCTCCTTCTCCGACTATGTGAAACAGTTCTGTCTCATCAAAAGTTGATGTGCTAGTTCACTTCAAGTTGTTTGTTTTGCTATGTTTTCATAACTAAGCATTGTGTAGTTTTTGGTGTTAACAGTTTAACTAGCAAGGTGAGCAGAATAGTTACAGTTTCTATTAAGTAGGAGGTATGGAACAGCATCAGTGTATTCTTCAGTGGTCAGCGGATAAAGCCTCATAACACCCTGTGTTAGAAAATCTCGAGGCTGTATCTGTTGTCACTTACAAATGGAATACTGATTGGTAGCATTTCAGCGTAGCTGGAGTACAAAGCTGAAAACTTAATCAAAACTGGTGTGTGAACTGATACACTAGCACTTTAATGGAAATTATATTCTAAGAGTTCCAATGAAAGACACACAGGTTGGGACTCCGTTTAGGTTACTCTTGTTTTCTGTCTCTCAAAACATACTGGTGAACAGCCATTTGAAGACATTTCTTCTGTCTTTTAGAAACTGAAATGCCAAGTCAGCTGCGATCAAGAAAAATACCTGGTAGAGCTGATGTTGGAGCTTCAACCTCAAAAGTTGTTGCCAAGAAGATAAAGAAACCAGAGAGGTCTTCAAAAAAGAAAGAAAAGAAAGCACATAAACCTGTTGCAGGAAAGCTATCCAAAAAGCCTAAGGCAAGCAATGGAAACAAGAATAAAAATAATGACCCTGGAAGTTTTGGAGGAAAGGAAAAAATCAGGCAGCAAGTTAGTTTGAAAGATAAACTCAGTAAAGATAATGATGACAATGATGGAATAAAACGCAGAACAGCAAGGCAATGTAAAGTAGAAGCACAAACAAATATAAAGCTGTTGTCTTCCCCAGGTGGATTATTTAAAGAAAGCAAAGTCATCACTGACTCACCTAAACTTACACTTTCTAGAACTCAAAAAGTGAGTGGAAATGATCCAGGTAAAACAAACTGTGTGAATAGTAAAACCCCAGTTAAAAAAATACTGAGTAGTTGTAAAGATGGCGATAAAACCACATTCTTACAAACTGATAAGGGTTCAGAACAAGCAAAAGCCAAAACTTTAAGCAAGGCCAGTAACGAGACACCCAAAAGTAGACTTACCAGAAGTTCTGTGAAAGAAAAAGAAATTGTTAAACCAAAAGGCAAGAGCCTGTATGAAGAATTACTTGAATTGGAGAAGGGCACCGTGAGAAAGTTGAGACAACGGGTTCCACCAGTGAAAAGGCACCATTCAGCCAGCAGGTCAAGCGATGAGGATGAAGCAAATGGTCTCATTAATAAAGCAATAGGGCTTTCTGCTAGGAGACCAAAAATTGCAAGGAAAGACATTGCATCAAAACCAAAGTCCTCACATACCAGTCAACTGAAAACAATTACCTCTAAAACAAAGTTCAAACAGTCTTTTCAGGAGTCAAATTCAGAAGATTCAAGTGAGGAGGAAAGTGATGTTGATGCCATTGAGAATGATGATGGAGACAGACATTTAGAGGATTCATCTGGTGATAGTTCTGAAGAAGAAGACATTAGTGTAAACACAATTTTTATTTAGAAAATGATATTTTACAGAAATGGAGAATTAATGCACACTGATTAATGCTACTGTGGCATTTGATTTTCTTTAAAATTTATGGAATTATTAACTGTTGTCAGATCCATATTTATTTTACATAAATGGCAGGGATCTTTTGAATGAAATACTTAAATTTTCAGGTTATAAAAACCTTGTCGGTTGAAGAAGTGGAAAAAGAACGAAAAGCTGAAGAAGAACAGAAGAAAAAAGAAGAGCAGGTAAGATAAAGTGATACCATGTAATTATTGTCATGCACTTAAGCAAACTGAACCCCATGACCAATTGTTAAGTAATTTTCCAAAGGTAATAAGTGTATGCATGTCTTATTTCACATGAATGAATTTGCTGGCAGAACAATACATAGGGGAAAACTGCCAAAAATTTATCTTGAAAAATGAGCAACTTGAAGTATTTGCATCTGTTTATCAAAGAGGAAGGATTTTGTAGTTTTGTTATGTTGCCAGTGTTTGGTTAAATGTGCATCTGTTTATATAATGTATGTTACATTTAAGGTGGATGAGGTCAAGCGACTGAAAAATGTTTTGATATGGAAGGTGCGTAAACAACTTATGGCCTAACACAATGTAAATTATGTCATTGAAGTTTTGTTGAAATTTTGAAAAGTTAAATTTTCTTTATACCTCTCAAAAAAGACGGAAAAATCAATTTACCACTTCCTTTTCTTTTCAGCAAGAGCAGTTAGTGGATCTGCGACAAGTTCAAAGACAAAATACAGTGTTGGAAAAGAAAATTGCACAACTTACAAAATCTAATAGCAGTCAGGTATGAATTTGAAAAAATTCCAATCTCTTGAATGAGAATTGAAAGAATGAATTGAAAGAATGAGTATCACAAGCTTTTTTAATGACTAACGCGTTGTGTACATATACTCTTTTACAGACTCACAAAACAGCATTGCAAGTATGACATTTTTTGGAATTTTCGAAAAGTCATTTCAAGAGAGAATTTAAAAAAATCTGCTTTTCTGATGCAATTTTCAAGTTTATAGTTAAATGAGTGAAACTAAATATTTCAGGTAATAGATAACAACCCAGAAGTGGTGCTGCGACCTTTGACATTACCAGAATGCAGTGACGACCCCTTAGAATCACAGATTACCAAGTTTAAGGATTCAATTAAACAAATAGTGAGTGGAAACCGTGTTTTAGTACTAACGTATATTTTTATGAACAATTCACATTGCAGTAGCCTTTTCAGGGTCATGAATAAATGGTAGGTTTGTCTTGTGAAAGGGAATGAATTATGAGAAGTTTTAGTATTAAGCTTTTAAGATAATTTGTTTCTAACGAAGTGATCATAGAATTATGCAATGTGCTAATAAAAAATTGCTGTATAAAACCAAATAATATGACATTTTTCATAAATTTAAAACTTTTTCCTTGTTTTGCTCATTTCAAAATCCCCTGCAAACCACAGCTGCTGTAATATTTTTCATATTTCATGAAAGGAAAGTGAAATGACTGCCTTGGAGTCTGCAGTTGAAGTGAACATGGAACTGGAATCCAGGCTGAGGGAGCTGCAGCATTCCAAGGAGGTAAGGTGTAAATAGGGTTATACAGGACTTATTGAATACAGGTTTACCAGTGAGGGGTGAAATAGGATTTTTTTTTCACTTTTTGTATATTTAGAAGCCACATGATGCCATGTGCTGTGCACAGTGACTGCCAGCAGCTTGTTTCTACTTAAAGACCATATGCTGACTTTTTGTGACCTACAGAAAAAGATTTGTTATTTAACAGACTTTTAACCTATCTATGAAGGTGTTGATGATATATGTTCCAATTTCTAGAGAGAACAGTACTATGAAAAGGAAGAGGAAAGGAAAAAGAAAAATGAGGAGGTTCAGAAGCAGGTGACTTACAATTTTCACAATAATCACATTATGAAAATTTTTTCTTGAAAGAAAACTGTCTTGAAAATTTGATAAATGATAAGTTTATGTTATGTTTCTTTTTTTAACACATTCATTGCTTAAGGTAGTATGAAACTTTTTAAACCTATATTTTAATCTATATCAGTGGATTGTGAATATGATATTACAGACAGAAAAGGCCTTGCTCCAGTTGCAACAAGAAAATGAGAAGTTGCAAGAAATGGTGAAAAAAGCCAGAGAGGATCAGTGGAAGAATGAGCAGGATAGGATGGTAATGTGCACTTAAAACTTAACAACAATGACATGCAACAGTCTGTGACCACACTCTTTAGAATTGGTAGTTTAGTTCATCAGTTTTGGCTATGGTTAAACAACTATATTTAGTTTACCAGTAACTGTCTATAGGTCCAGTTGTCTGTAAAGTTTAGCCATTTTAAAGGTATTTGAATAGGGCTTATAATTAGTCTGGGTTATTTTATTTTACATGCCCCTCCATAAAGTTAAAAATGACCTAACTGAAGGCTTGTGTGATGTTTGGCTTTGATATCAATTTATGACGGGTTTTCTTCTGTTATAGAAAAATGAGACTACTACACTAAACACAGTCAATGGCATGCTAGAGGGAATGCTTAAAAATCTTATGAAAGGAATTGGAACACAGGTTGGTATCCATTATCAAATGTTTATAAAGGAGGAGTGATTACTGTTTTGTAATGAGGTCTGGCAATTTAATTCTAAATATAAAATTAGTTAAGGTTATTAGTTAAGAACTGTAATAAAAATAAGTTACGAATGGTCTTCTTGTACACCTGGATATGTTCAGTGGTTAACATCAAGTGGTCTTCATTCAGGTAGCATCCCAGAACACAGCATTCCCTGGCACCTCAATGACTGCATCTGGGAGTGGAGCCCCTCAACAACCTCCAGGCCCAGGGTTTTCTTCTGGTTCAGCATTCTTTCCTGGCTATGGCTGGATTGGGTCAAATTCCCTTCCCCCTGGTCAGGCTTTGGCTCAGATGGCAGACATGCTAGCTGCTCATACCTTAGCCAATGCTAAGGGGCAGACAATTAATCAGACTAGGCTTCCAGGACAGCCTCCATCTTCAGCAGCAAGATTTCATATCTCAGCACCCACATCATCAGCCAAACCAGCAACATTAGTGTCAGTGGCAGAATCAGTTTCTTCCTCGACATCATCTACTTTGTCACAGAGTCAAAAAGCACAGCAGCCTGCCATTGTTGATTTGACACAGTCACCAGTATTATCCTCAGTCCCATTAACAAACAATGTAGCTTCCCAGCAACTCTCAGCATTAAGTGCCAGCCAGGCACCTATACCAAATGTAGACAGGTCTAGGTTGTATTTTACTACCACTGGTTCTCTGTGTAACACAAGCAAACTCAATGAATTGGCCAGTAAAACTGCAGATTCCAAAGGGAAGGGTGAGATGAAAACAAAGGGCTCCGAGGATTCTTCATTAACTAAGGTGGATGGTATCAAATCTTGTAATATCCCTAAGACTTCGGTTAGCAACAAAAATCAGGATGCTATCAAGGATCCTGTCAAGGAGAAAATGGAAAAAGATGAGGCTGAGAAGACTTCAGGTAATGATATATCTAAAGATTCTGATATAGAAATCCTTGACACATCAGCAGAAAGCTCATCATCGGAGAAGGGCAACAAGAAATCCAACAAAGGTAAAAAGGGATCCGTGTCTAAAGAGAAACAAAAGGGCAAAAAGAAAATGGAGATCAAAGGAAGTAAAGGTAAACAAAAGAAAGAAGCATCATCAACAACAAAGAGGTCTCTCAGAGGATCAAAAACACATGAAAAGAAAGTTGAAAGTGATAATGAAAGTGAAATTGACACAAGAGATGATGGAGATATTATAGTTGTGAGCAGTGAGGAAGAAGAGGAGAAAAAAATAGCAAATGGGAAAAGGAAGAAAAGATCACCTATGAGGACAACCAAAAGGAGAACCAGGAGCAGAAAAGATGAGTCAGAAGAAAGTGAGAGTGGGGCAGAAGCTGATGATGATGAAGCAGATGATGATGAGGAATCTGTAGAAGGAGGGAAAAAAGGAAAGAAAAAGAAAAATAAGGTAAAGATTGAATTGGGTTATTACATTACATCTAGGATTTTTGCTAGACAAATTTGGGGATGTGAGAAAGGAAAAAAAAGGTGGAGATTGCATTGGGTTATTACATTTTATCAAGGATCTTTTTAGGACAACTTTGGGAAGCATTTGAGTTCCTTCCAAACTTGTTTTCTCACAGTTACTCAACATTGAACCCCATGAATTTTTAGTTGAGGTCCAAAGTAGCTCCCTATTTCAAAGTATTGTGGACACCTTGATATCAAGGTGCTTGCACTCCAGTGAAGTAAAATGTTGGTAAGTTTTGTTACTGAAGTAATTTTGGTCAAGACTGGATTTCAGGAAAAAGATGTATTTTGGATACGATTTTTAACCTTTTTTTTAAGAAAGAAGATGGCACACCTGGGCAGTACAAGAGGAGGGATATCCAGCGTCTTTTTAAGAGGAGCAAACTGAAGAAGGAGACATTGGAGGCCGAGAAAGCAGAAAAAGAAAGACTCAAGAGAGTTGAAGAGATTAAGAAAAAGGTGGATATTAAGAATTAAGAGATTTGTAGATATTTGATTTGTTAAACATGTGTAAAACATGTGTTTTGTAAAACTTGGATTCTTTAACTTTGCATAATAAGTCAATTTTTTTAGAGTGCAGTTTTATAAGCAAAAACAGTCCTCTTATTTAACATTGTGAAACAATAAGTAATCCAGCAGGAACAACAATACAACAACATTTGCATGCTAGACAGTTTATAAATAATTTATCTTGAAACATTTCTCCCATATTTTGTAATTGACAGTACATGACGTACTCTGTGTATCTTAATTCAGCACCATGTGGTCCAAGTCCCAGATCCCAAGTCCCCCAATAAATGTCCAGTGACCACCAAGCTAGTGCTGGAAATGGATGCCAATGGAAAGCCTGTAATTGAAGTGAACAGCAAACTGGCAAAGAAGCTCAAACCACATCAAGTAGAAGGTAATTTTGGATTTTATAAGACATAAATATTTAGATTTTATAAGACATAAATATTTGTTATGGCTGGCCTACAACCTGATTGTTGGTCATTGCTCACTGTTCGTGAAGTTGTTCACTAAAAGCATTGTTAAGTTGGATATTTATATATGTAATTTTTTGATGTTACTGAAATATGCCTTTTTATGTAGAAATAGACCAATGGAATTTCTTATGCCAAGTTTCTGTATATTTATTAGCTTTGCTGAATAGTGAATTATTTTTTTTATGAAGATAAGGACTTATGTCCAACATTATACCTTTTATTTTAACCTATTTTTGTTTTTGGAACTGTCATTAAAGTGATAACATAGAGATACGTGGTTTTAAAAGCTAGCATTTTACAATAAATAAAAAATGCAGTCTTTCTTTTCTATTGAAAAAAATATCCGTTTTCTTTCCAGCTGTAGAGTTTCAGTGGGACTGCTGCATAGAGACCCTGGACACATTGAAGAAGGAAGAAGGCAGTGGTTGTATTCTGGCACATTGTATGGGATTAGGGAAGACTTTGTCTGTAAGCTTATTGATATTGCTCATCCCTACCTACATCACAGACACATTCTTCTGTTACTTTACACTCATGTAATTTACTATAATCAACATTTTTAACTTAGTCATTCTAAAACTGATGTTGTTATAACTAGGTAGATGGATTTTTTTTTTGCATGGAAATCTTGGGTTAAACAATATTCACGTGCTATTGTTCATTTATTTTATTGTTTTTTAGGCAATAACACTAGTCCACACACTGTTATCTAACAAGGTGACAGGGTTGAAGACCTGCCTCGTGGTGTGTCCTTTGAACACAGTGCTGAATTGGAAGCATGAGCTGAATTACTGGCTAGACAAAAAGGATAGGCTGAAGGTACAAAATAATCAGACTTTATACTTGTGCAGTAAGAGTGAATTTTAGAAGTGATAATAATAATAATAATAAGTACTTTCGTAAGGTAAAGCTGTGTTATATGTGCATTTCCAGTTTGCAAGAATCTGGATTTGTGCATTTGTGCTTGTGTCTCCATCTAAAACCTTGTTACCCATAAGGAATTTTACCTCTGTTCAGGTAGATGAAATACACCCTGAGACTTTTTGCATGTCAGTCATTGTTCCAACAGATTTATGACTGAATATCTCATCAGCAATAAGAGTTGTTGAATAATATTGCAAATTGCAAATCATCTCAGACATATTAATCGCCTTCCTGCAGTATTATTATGCCTAAGTAGTTGTGTTTTTTTTTAAAGTCTCATACTACTGTTCCAATATTACTCAATTTGAGGGCTGGTGCTTTAAACTGCACAGGTATTACACCAGTAATATGCTTTATCATAAACCTTATTATATTCACTTTACCTTCAAATATTCCTCTTACATCTCAGTCTGCTGCAAAATTATCTTGTATTATTGTTCCATTTTCAAAAAAATGACTGGTGGTACCTATTCAGAAGGTAGCCCTTGCCTCTTTGAACTGCTGGTTTGTATTGTTTTCTTTTATTTATCCAGTATTTAAGATTTTCCTTGTTGCATGTCTTTATTGCAGGTGTACGAGATTGTCAGCGTAAAAGTCAACAAGGAAAGATCTGAGTTGCTGAAGAAATGGCATAATGGTGGAGGAGTCATGATCATTGGATATCAGATGTTCCGTATTCTGTCTCATTCACATACAAAAAGTAAAGTGCAGAAGGAGATCTTCACGACTACACTTTTGGATCCAGGTAAGTCATATTCCACTGAACTTTATTTGCTAAATTATATCCATATGGCATTTGCATTTGTGCATGCAATTTTAGATTATCTTTGTGCTATATAAAAACAAGTTTTTTGTGAATGCATTTTATTAAGCATGTAGTATAACTTGAAGTGTAGGGAGCTGATTGAAACGCATTTTGACAGAATTTTTGTTGCTTTTCCCTTAAGGCCCAACATTATCTTCACCTTTTTTCAGTCATGCAGAGAACTTTATCCAAATGCATACTTTGGATCAGTTTTTGATATCAGTTGGGACAAACAAAATTTATTACTTTCTCTCTTCATCAGGAAACTTAATGTGTGAACTTCAATTTTGAGTTTTATTAATGCACCTAATGTGATTAAGATGTTGCTACGTGTTACATTTTAGTAATGAAATGGTGATGACTCAATAAATTGACACACAAAATTCACAACTATGTTTTTTTTATAACTGGAATCATCAGAGATAGTGTTATTGGCAAGAGCTGCAGGCTAAAAACATCCCAGGTTAATGATATCTGTTTTGCTGTAAAAGTTTTTCCTCCTTGTCTAGACACTGTAAAATGAGAGGAAGATGAGGGTGGGAACTGTTTCGGCTTTGAGATATTTCAGACTTCATGCAATCCTATTTTAGGTCCTGATATTGTGATCTGTGATGAAGGTCACATGCTGAAGAATGACAGCTCTGCCATTTCTAAAGCCATGAATAAAATCAGAACTTTGAGAAGGGTAATACTTACAGGGACTCCACTTCAGAATAATCTTTCTGAGTGTAAGGAAGGACTTTCATTGTTTCTGTTTTTGTTTACAATAGACTTGATACATTTATCAGTTTTTACTGTGACTAAGGTAAACACTTATGAAGTTCACCTATTTTTACTGTAAAATTTTTAATAATTTATTTTATATATATCATTTTAATTCCTTTTGTGAAGTGATGATTGATTTAAGTTATCAATTATATCAGTAGCTCCATTCATCTAATTTTGTTTTGTTAAGATAACAACAAACAGAATCCGATGTAATCTTTATGTAAAATTTTATTACATTTTTAGACCATTGCATGGTGAATTTTGTCAAGCCTAATCTCTTGGGTACTCGCAAAGAATTCTCTAATAGGTATGGATGTTTTTACTTCTTAATACTAATTTCTTTGCTCAAAATTAGATTAACACAAAAAGCTCACTAAGTTAAGTTTAAATAGCACCAAAATTGGACATGACATCAGGCAAGTGCAGATTACATAATCAGATTTTAGCAGTTTTTGTAGCAATGAGTCATACAATCCTTTAAACTACCACTTGCCACCAGCACCAGAATATCTTGAAAGTATAATTTTTATTGTTTTAATTTTCCATTCGTTTCTGTGCCATTAGGTTTATCAATCCCATCACAAATGGACAGTGCTCTGACTCCACTCCGTTAGATGTGAAACTGATGAAGAAGAGGTCTCATGTTCTACATGAAATGCTGTCTGGGTGTGTGCAGGTATGCGGTGATTAAATCCTTATGGATGGATGTTAAATGCAAACCAGGAGAATTGACCCACAAATAGCTCATTTAAAGCTTAGGATGTAATTTCTGTGAAGATGAGCAGAAAGTAATTTAATATAATTGAGCTGGAAAAAATAGTTGACTTTCAAGATATTTTTGTTTTGTGGCAAAGTCTTATTGATACATAAAATAGATATGTGTTTGCTTGAGGAAAACAATTTTATGTGTTCTTACAGTTTTAGTAAAAATACTGTCTCACATTCTCCTTTCAGAGAAGAGACTATTCTGCCCTTACCAAGTATCTTCCAGAAAAGTATGAGTACATACTGTCTGTCCGTCTGTCCCCCATTCAGATGACATTATACCAAGAATATCTGAAGCGCACAGGTCGCAGTGAAGCCGTGCCTAAAAACTTTTTCACTGGTGCTAGCCTGTTCCAGGACTACCATCACCTGCACAGGATTTGGACACACCCATGGGTACTGAGGCTGGAGCAGATCAGGCAGGAGAACAGGGTATGGGCCAGTTGCATGGCTTTGGTGAAATTGTGAAATTAACTATCAAGTTACCAGTTTTGTATTTATTGGGTTTTTTGTTTGTACTAAATGTGTGTCATTTGTGTATGGATTAAGTGTTAATGACAGTTTAAACTGACTGAGAAGTTATTGCATTGCAGAAAAATTAGTAGGATATTTATAATATAAAAATATACACTAAATGTACTATTTGCATTAAGACTAATTTTGTAAACATGTTTTGGTCATATGTTTTGTTTGGACAGATGGTTGATGATGGTGCTAGTTCATTTGCTGAGAGCAGTGAAGATGAGGAATCTGAAGAAGAGATTTTAGAGGAGGTGGAGTCGACAACATCCCCTAGTGACATCTCCTCTGAATCTGCCATGTCATTATCAGAATCTGAAAGTGAAGTTTCCAAAGAAGGCAGCCAGAAGAATAAGAAGTCACAAGGAAAAGTCTCTAAGGGTAGCAGAGAGAAAAATAGGAAAGAAGCCCTTTTGAAAGGCAAAGGAAGGGTTAGTAATATCCTTCTGTTGAAGTGAACAGAGCTAAGATATGTCAATAAATTATTCATCATCTTGTATAAGATTGAAGGCATTCATCCAGTGTCTTATTTTTGTAACAATTATGTATTCCAACCTTTAGTTATTTGTTGTTAATAAAAAAAAAACATCTATAACTCTTTGTTTTTCAGACTGAAAAGGATGTAAGTAAGGAGGACACCAAGTTAAGTAAAGGAACAAGAAGCTCCTCAGTTCTTTCTGAAAACAAAAAGTCTTCCAAGCAAGTGCCAAAGAAGAAAGATGAAGACAAAGAGATCAAGTTTAGGGACCTAGATGATGAGCTGAGGACAAGAATACATGGGGAATATGTGAGAGGATGGAAGTCACTAAGAAGAGGAGGAAAAGGTATATATTATGTTATGAAGAAGTGGTTTATGTGGGGCACAGAATTCAGTATGTTTTTGTTAGTTTTAAAAATGTTTTAGAACTGTTTTTAGAACTCTTTATGAAGCCATAAAATATTTTTTTTCAAAATTATGTAGAAACGTTCTTACTTTTTAATAGGAAAAATGAAAGAATGAAGGATACTGTAAAATCGGTTCTTTAAAGTTAACTGAAATATATATGTATTAAACCAACCAAATATTCAGTAGAAATGGTTGTAGTTGATGACCATGCTGACTAATTGTTTCTCTTCACAGAGTTCATAGAAGAGGCACCAAAGGAGCGTGAAAAGGAGTGGTGGGAGGAATATATCAGAGAAGAAGACCAGCATGACCCAGCATTGAGTGGGAAGCTAATGCTGCTGTTTGATATCATCAGGATGGCTGAAGCAGTTGGGGACAAGGTGCTTGTCTTTAGTCAGAGTCTACTGTCTCTGGATCTGATAGAACAGTTCCTGGCACGCATAAATGAGCAGGCAAAGGCAGGAACCAACCTGAAGAAGTCAAAAAAGGTAAGTCAAGTTTAAGCTTCATTGTGGCTTTATGTGCAGTGTCACACTCCATCAAAGCCTAGAAGAGATTTTTTGGTAACTGGATACCAAAGTCTATGTAACAGACATAAACATTTTATATTTGCAAGTTATCTCATGCTGTGAAATAAAATGAAAATCTTGGAGATCTTTTTTCTTTAAATGTTTAGGACAGTTGGTAAATAGTCTGAAGTTGCTACTAGAAGGCACACACAAAAAATGGAAATGACATGTGCTTATGTGGTATTGACTAAAAAGTTGCAAAACTTCCTGTTTAAAGTAACTTTCTTGTAATTTTAGTAAATTCATGTAAATTTCAGAAGCTGAATCCATTGTATAATACGTGGACCAAAAATGAAGACTACTTTAGAATTGATGGCTCAACGGTTGCCCAACACAGACAGAAGTATATGGGAGACTTCCAGGACCACAAAAATACAAAGTAATTACTGTGCTTTTTATGTATGGCCGTAAATGGCATAAATAAGATCAAAAAAGAAGAGAAATACTACAAAAAGGGTTGAACTCCCTAGCGAAAAGTATGTTTAGTAGGTAGGTTTGTCTTGACACTTGATCTTTTTTCACATTTAAAGATATAAAGCACACAAAATAATTCCAGCACAGAGTAACTACACTATCTTAGCTTTATTTGTCCCAAATGATTCCGTAAAGTAGGTCCTAGGTGCCGAGGTTGTGAATGCCCCAGTTTTAGTGTGCATTAAGTGAGTCTGTGGATGCACACTAAAATCAGGGTTTCTAAAAGCTGAGCACATGTTATTTGGAGTTAACTTTGGATAAAAGAGATTAAATTTGAGTATTACCTGCCTTTTCAAAGTACTTTTGGTGTGGGAGTTTAACCCTATTGTATTATATATAAGGTTAATGCCAATTGTTTTATGTATTAAAGCTGTCAGAATTGCCTTCACAGTTATAAAAAAACTTGTATAAACTGATATAGATTGCTCCTCCTCAACCTTATGTCCCACATGAGTATCAACTTTCAATAAAGGGGTTTATGAGATAAATAATTTAAGTTGCGTAAGGGCATTTTCATGTGAAAAATGAGAAGTACAGTCTCCAGTGAACTGTAAAACCCAGTCAACACATTTCCTGAGACATTAGAACTGGTGGCGAATGGGGATTAATTCAATATAGGAGACACTGGGGAATAGTAGGCTGGTGTATATGCACAACATGTGTGACTTAATGCACTTACTTAGCTATAGACTACTGCAACATACAGTGTGGTATTAGGCTGCATGACTGTTCTGTTATTTGCACAAGGGTTTTATTTGGCTGGGACTGTAAAATGAACTGTGAACACAAATTTTTAAAAAGAAAGACTGACATGAAATTTCATTTGAGATTTGATATAATAATTTTGAATGTGTGTGTGGTGCGGGGGGGGGGGGGGTTCTTTTTCAGTATAATTATTTTCACATCTCTTCAGTGGTATAAAACAAAAATACTGTAGGTGACAGTATTCAGAGTATTATATTTTAATGAGTATATTTTCAATTTTATTGTATTTTAATGAGTATCGTTTCAATTTGTTAATCCAAGAGTTTTTCCCTAGTCCTAGTATTGCAGAAACTTTATGCAATAAGTGCTTCTACCATATACACAGTAATCTTGGAAATACTGAAATAAGAAAGTAAGCTTTCTCCCTATGTTTGTAAATGCCATTCTGTATTTCAGGGGCCGTCTATTCCTGATCTCCACCAAGGCAGGTTCCCTGGGGATCAACCTGGAGGCTGCCAACCGTGTGGTAATATTTGATGCCTCCTGGAACCCATCCCATGACATCCAGTCCATATTCAGGGTCTACAGATTTGGGCAGGAAAAACCAGTGTTTGTTTATCGATTTCTGGCACAGGTATGATAAATATTTATATTTTTATGAATTATACCCCTTATAGAATTCTAGACCTCTGGTTGGTCTGTTACAATGCCCTGTTCTTTACAATATGCTGTATTTTACTGTCATTCAATATCACTGTTCGCTTTTGAGTGACCCCATTTTTATGGGTCTGATTGGTCATTAAAGGATGTTTTATTATTATTTGTCATATATGATGTCAGTTGCAACACATGTATCAAAATTATATTGTTGTGAAATATCTAAGTACATGGGGAACTATGCTCTATTTGTTTAATATTATTGTTTAAATCTGTATAAACGACTACTACTACGGGGGCCATGGAGGCTTTCCAAAAATGCCTTTTCTGAATAGCAACAAAATTAAGCAAATCATGTGACTTTTCCAATTTTTTGTGTATATATCAGCACCTGTTCAGAGGGAGTAGTAACTCTTACTTTTAGCATGTGTGTGTGTTTGAGTGTGTTGGGAGTTTGTGTAGAAATCCTACACAGGATAAGCTGTATTACATTTTTTAGTCAATAAAATAGCAGTGAACAGAGCACAGTGTCTGAAAGTGGGGTATATTTGTACTTAGTTCATTTAAAAAAGATTTGTGCAAGTTAATCAAATTTGGTGTTCAGGCTAAGTAAAGACTTTAATACTGTTTCTGTATATTTTAATGTAAAATGTGACATGTGGATGACTTGATGGGGTGTTGACAATATTCAACTGCTTTTCTTCTTTGTAACATATCTAAATCTCCAGTCAGATTTTGCATACATTTGAGCATAAAATTTTACACAGTAACAAGTTTCAGTTTTGACCAGCATCCATAAAGAACTTGCAAGCAAGAGATGACTGAAGATAAATTTTTTTCTTTGAAGGGCACAATGGAAGAAAAAATCTACCAGCGTCAAGTTTCCAAGCAATCTTTGGCTCAAAGAGTAGTTGATGAACAACAAATAGAGAGGCACTTTTCTGCTGCTGATTTGGCAGAGTTGTACAGCTTCAAGCCTGAGAGACTGGACGATCCAGAGAGGAAAAAGAAACCAACTCCCAAGCTGCCAAAAGTAAATTGCTCTTCTTGATTAATATATCATTAGATACTAATTTTTCTTAAAGACAATAAATTGAATGTTGATTTTCAGGGGTTATGACATGCTTAAATTTATGATTTGTGGATATTTCAACATGTTCAATAACTGTTCATTGATTGTTTTGTTCAAGCCCTTTATTTTATTGGCAATGAAGTTTTCATTTAGCTGAAGTAGACAAAATGAATTTGTGTTTTGTCAGTGTGCCCAAAAATAATATAAAGAGATTGATGCACTTGGGACACGTGCTAAAATGAATTCAAGTGGTCTACTGTTGAATTAATTGATGCCAGAGCCCAGAAAGTGAACTTGCCTTTAAAATATTTTGGCTTTATGGTACACCATAACTATGTGCATGTTTAGTTTTAGAAATATTTTTGCCTTCTGATATATTATCTTTTGGTGACAAAATGAGAATTCTGATATTAAATATTTCCATTTAGATGTAAATTTAGTAAGTGTTATTCTTTTACGTCGTTTTAACAATACTGGATTTATTGTCTTTAAGGTTCAACTTTGGTCCAAAAGCTTAAAAGGATGGATTGTTCATGCATGTGTCAAAGTGTATTTAAAACTATTATGTACTGTCTAATAAGAAAGAGTTTATATTATCTGAAATATCTTCAGTTTTTTCTTCTGAAATGCTGGCATTCTAGAAGTTTCTGTTAAAATAACACTATAGATTTATAAATTGTGGATGTTATATGCCAAAGAATTAGTCATTGGACTATAGAAAAAAGATTTAATGCACATTTTGGTCTCAAATTTCAGGATAAAATTTTAGCCGAACTTCTCAGTACTCGACAAGACTGGCTGGTTGGCTACCATGAGCATGACTCCCTGCTGCAGAATATAGAGGAAGAAACATTGACAGAGGAGGAACGCAAGACAGCATGGGAAGAGTACGAAAATGAAAAGCAGGGAATTTTTACACATCTGGGACCAGGTAAAAATGATATTTGTGAGGTGATTCAAGTAAAATGATAGCATAAGAAAATAAAAACTGTAAAGATTCATTTACCATAATGAAAATGAGATGTTTAGAGACTGTCCAAGATTTACTCCACTCTATTCAGATTAACAGAAAAAATTCTTAGCAGTGTACAAAGTTATATTTTAGTGACTTTCATAACTGCTTGTTTCCAATACTTTAATCTACTGAATTACCATTACAGATAATTGAATTATTATTTTTTTTTTCTTTGTTGATGCAGCATTTGCTCCACCGCCACCCCCTATGCAGTTCAAATTCATGTATCCAAGACCTCAGTCACAGCCTTATCGTAACCTTGCCCCTAGACCAGCTCATCCACCCTCTCTGGGGGGCAGGCCACCCAGTCTAGCATCATGTGAGTTTTACACACCTCGGGTGTATGTGTTTTTGTTGACTGGGTTCTGACCTTTCAAGTGAATATAATTGCTCTGAAATTTTCTTTTATTTATTGAGCAATGATCGAAAGTTTAGTATGACCCATAAAAAAGATAATTTTTTTAGTGTATCATTTCTATCAGATGGACAAATCAGTGTTAAACAACACTTCTATCATACCAGGATAATAACGTTAAGAGATAATTTTTATTTGGTACACATTTTTCAAAGACAAGATGTGCAGTTGTAGAGACTAACATATTAAATCACAAAATGTTGGAAGATCATTGCACATGAAAATTCATGATTTCTAAAAAAAATCTTATTTTATCAGTCCCAAATTTGAACCAGCAGTTGACCCTGGGCATCAACCAACATCTGCCCCCTGGCGTGCCTCTAACCCCACAGTTTCATCAGCAACTACAGAGGCAGCTGCCCAATGTCATACAGGCTATTCTAAAGACTGTAAGTGCATGAGAGATTATAATAAAATCTTTATTGAAAGTAAATTATTGATCTGTCTGGTAGCAGCATCAATTATATATGATCAGAGTTGGATGTTTTTCCAGGCGGTTTTATTAGTGTGTGATGAAATAACATTTATGTACTTATAATTCAGATAATGATGCATTGAGTACTTATCAAGGCACCCAACATTTGGAAAGGATTTTGTGTTAAAAAATTTCAGTACAGTTAAAAAGATGTGATCAACAGGATATTACTATGAAGTGATGTTTATCTTGATTCATGTAACTTGTATGCAGTTGTTTAGAGTACTTTCCATATCCTTTCAGAACCCCGGTGTGTCAATTGATGAGTTGCAGAGACGTCTGCAGCAGTTTCTGAAAACTCAGCTCATGTATCACTTCCAGGCCATCCTCAAGCAGCAAGGGTTCCCGTATAAAAAGGTATACTGTTCAAAGCAAGCAGATTCTTGTAATAATTGAAACTTCTTAAATGAAGGATTAATTTTACGAGAAGATAATACAAAGAAATAATCATTTACAGCAAATCTGATAGCATAAGTAAAATAAAACCAACCCATGGTACATTTATTCTCGAACAAACAAAAGGTCATGACCTGGCTATCACACCTGTCCCCTAATCCCCATCTGCTTTTTATTGGACTCGCCATTTTGTGGCAGCAGACAATTTAATTTTTGCAGTTTTTATCTAAATAATCACAACATCTAAATTATCTTTGGCATCCAGAAAGTGATCCCACAGGTCGGGGAAACAAACACGAAACGGTTCCACAGAGATTTCTGGCAGTCCAGATATTCAAAATGGGGGAAAATGTCATAGAAATGAATAATAAAGAAATGCCAACTTTTTCAGAAGCTGAAAATCCAGTTTCTTTTGCATACTGTGACATTATTTCTGATAATACTCTGAAGCAGAGAGAACTATTATATTGCAGTAGGCACTAGTTCTAACAAGAAATGGCATAGATTTGTAGCTATTGAATTTTTTAAGGGCATGCCATCAAATACTTGAGCCTCATGACCCTTACCTCCTATTTGTCATAAAAAGTTGGCTGTCACAGTCTATAGAAGTTAATCTTCCTGTGATTTTCTTCTTCTCTTATTGAACCACACCATCAGCTTTGAATAAGCAACGTACCCACATTTATTTTTGGCAATCAAAGCAAGTGGTTTTGCTTATTAATCATTAATTTAAAAATATTAAGCATGATTTCATATTTTTCTTGTTCTTAGTATTTTTGTTCTGATTCAGCTCCCTACTGGTGCAGAACAAGCCCAGGCCCAGCAGGTACAGGCTCAACAACAACAAGCCCAAGCCCAAACCCACCAGGCTCAGGCAGGCAGCACACCTCCAGCCACTCTTCCCTTCATGCCCTCACTTCTGCCCAATCCTGTGGTCAACCTCACCCAAACTACAGAAGAGAGGGGGTCCACCTCTTTGTCCACCAGTATTCCATCAGCCACAGGGAGTGGTCAGTCCATGGTGGTCAAGGCTCAGGTCCATGCAAATGGGACTGGTGACCAGCCTTGAAGTAAAATAAATTCCATTTAGTGTAGGGAAGTCTGGTAACTTTCAACAGAGAAAACATATGTAAGATTTGAAGAGATATCAATTTATGAATCTGTCACATAGAATGTAAATGTCATCTGGTTCATTGCATGTAGAAAACTGGTGGCAGAAAGTGTTGTGAAATTAATTATGAACATGTGACAAGACCAAATGTTGATCATTTAAGGCATAAGAGTGGACTTGTTTTTCATCTTTTTCATGTGTGCTGATTTAATAATGTTAAGTAAGATTTTATAAATACTTTGAAGGAATTTTTTTCCATTTTACTATCAAAGGTGATGGTTATTTTTCATAAACTGGTGGTTAAATGTTTTTGGCAAGTTGTTTGATATGTATTTATTGCATTTTATAAATGTCAATTCTTGTAAAAGGTTTACTTATCTGATAAATTGGAGATATTACTAAATAGATATGAAAGGCAAATGTTACATGTAAAAAATGTCAGAATACACATTTCAATTACCCTCTCTTTTAAGTAATTGCTGATGCCAAGTTTTATTTCCTTCATCCCCAGTAATACAAGATGCATCAAATGCATCAATGACAAACATAAGGTTAAGGAGGTTCATTGACATTTGGCCAGTTAAGGCTGTTCTTTGTCTTCTTAAGATGAATAGTCATTTTATCATTTGTGGGAGCTAGAGTGATACCTTCTGAGAAGATGGATTAATCCTTGTTGACGGCTGTAAAGATATTGTTGTATTTATCACATGATACATGTGTATGCTTTGTCGTTTTCTGTGCTCATTATTTTTTGGATATGGACTAAATGCTTGACTTTCTTATCAGTGTTTTTTTTATAAAATGGTTAATTTACAAACACCTTGTAATTTGATTTAGATGGTTGCTGTTTGTAATACATTTTGATACATATCAATTTTTATTGGTGTCTTTGTTCATGCACTAAGGCTATACCTGTGAAGATTTTGGGATTAATTTGAAAACTCTTTTATTAAAAATTTACCTGAATAACATCTCACATAAATTTGTTAATATACCATTTCAGTTGATCTCTGGGCATGGGTGGTTTAAAGATTCAGAAATTAAACATTTACATTTAGATCAAAATTAAGTTAAATTTTGATGTCCTTTAAACAGTGGAATTGGACTGATTGCCTTTACTTTTTAGCTTTGGTCCAAAAAATGATCCAAGTTTAAAAAGATGCAATCAATCGAAGACGGTTTATATCTGTAGTGAATGGAGCATAAGGTGAAAGATCAATTGTGTGCATTATCATTAGTATTCATGTCAGCAACTACAAATATACTGCTACAATCTCATTACCCCTAGACAGGATACATTCCACTATTATGAGCTGTAATACAGTATCACAATAGAAGGTAAGAAGGACTGTGTATTGATCTTCTCCAGATATTTTATCCCCTGCTCGCACTTACCCAACTTTCATGGAGCTTAAAACCGATAACATCTCAAACTACACAACAATACACAGCCAAAATATAACTGATAACTAAGTTTTCCCCAATTTTTATTAGTTTTAGCAATTTGCAGATTTGATTAGTTTGCTATTCAATGACCCATTGTCCCAGTCAGAAAAGCTATCAATACTGGAAGCAATGCAGCAGAAGTGAGGGAATTCTGACATGAATACTTTGGGGGATTGGACTGTATGTGCAGTAAGAAAGAAGAATTTTCCTCAATCTCTGGCCATGTACCTCTGAGGACAGAAGCAGTGCAAAACTGAACAAAGGAAAATCCTTTGGCCAATATTGTATTGGTTAATCTTTTGAATCACAGACTCACCTGTAAAAGAAAACAGCATGCTTGTTGAATTTTTTATCCCTGATAAAATCTTAAGAGCTGGTATTACTACTAAATTGATGTTTTGAAAAAACTTGGCATCTAGACTGGGAAAAACTCCAGTTGTTTAAATGAATTATTTTAGTTTATCTCTATAGATAGAATAATGTCTTGCACATCTTTCTGGTTTCAGACTAAAGTGTCTGGGGATCTTGAAATGCGCTTTGATGAATAATTCACACTGAGGTTCAAGAAACCAAACTAAACAGCAAGCCATTTTACTCCCAATTTTCTTAGAAGTAACAATTTTTTTATGATTATACTCTTTACAAATCATAATTACTGGCCAAACTAATTTGCATTGTTTTCTCTCAAACTTTAAATAGTTAGAAAGATAGGTTACTTGTGCCTATAATTTTTGATTTTTTAAAAATAATATTCGGCTTTGAGATGAAGAACTAATATGCAAGTTGGCAATCAAATGTTTGAAATGCCAAGTTGTTTTTTACAAGCCATTTTACTGAAGCATTCTTTTTCAAGCAGTACCAAGTAGAGTTGAAAGAAAAAGCTCTTAAGGGAACTGTGATCACTTGACTGAGTAGTAAATGAACCATGGATATTGGTGACTTGTATTGTAATCATGTATGCATGCACACATGTAGCACACATGTAAACACACATACACATTGAAAGAGTATAGTAAAGTATATTTGCCATCAAGTTTTCTTTCCAATACAACCAGATGCTGCACTATCAGCAAAATCTTTAAGGAAATGGAATTTTCTTTTCATGACCCTATAATTATATTATTTCTATAATACCAATGCAAGATTACCAATCCATTGCCCCTGCTTCAGGCTCAGCGAAGCTTAGTTTAGCAATAACTTTGCTTTATTTCAATCCCACTAGAATTGTGGACCACTTTAATGTTTCACACTTTATATACCCTGACTAAATGTAATGAAGGTGTTGGACTGCAGTCAAGTATGTCCTCGTCAATTTCCAGCTCTTTTCAAATCGTCCATCAGTGAGCAGCAGCTGCTATAGCCAAGCTTAACATTGATCCATCTGGATAACTGATGATATCCACCCTGTAACTGATCATATCCGCTCCTGTAACTGATCACATACAGGAGAGACACTTGACAAACTGTCAGTCAGTCGGAGCTGATGTTGGTCCCATGACAAGCTGGAAATCGGGCACAGTGGCAAAGCATAGATTTTTACTTAGTACAGGAAATCCTATTCTCCCTTCACACCAGCTATTGATGATTGGCCAAATAGATGCAGCATTTGGTGTGAACAATAACAGGCACTTGAACTGAATTTGGAGAGGCAATACTTAAGGAAATCAAGAGGAGACCTAGGTGTTACTTATAATCAACAGCAAGGACTCATCTGGGAAGAATACAACGGAAAAAAGTGGGTTTGAACAAGCTGAATATCAAATTGGCACACACTGAAAAAAAAGCCCTGAGAAAATGAATCATTTGAATAAGAATAATTAAAGCCAAGATTTTGGACGCAGTTACTCTTCAGTTAGAAATCATTTTGTGATTTCTGTGATAGTGCATATTTCTTTAGCTCTTTAAATTGGAATGTTTCCACTGTTACACTGCAGAAAGAAGTAATTCAACAACTATGGGCTTATTACTGTCACCAGGTCAATCAAGTGCCATAAGTATCATAGTCCTACTGTTGTGTATGAGCACACAGGTGGCACAGGTGTGCTGTGAAGTAGACTATGGGTACAGTAAGTTGTGCTTTAATATTTTCAAACCCAATAATGCTACCTGTAACATACTGCAATGGCTCTTCGAAGAAGGTAATATTGCACTTTTTATTCTTTCTTTATAGCTCAGTGTTGTATTATTAAATTTACAGGGGCAGATCCATGGGTGAAAGTTGTAAAAACTGAAAATGTAGCTTGCAATTTCTCAGCCCATTTAGACCATATGAAAAAAATTTTATCAAAATGAAGACTGAAAATCTTGAAATCGGGCATAATCTTGGAAATTTTGGAAACTCATGCAGATCCAATCAGGCAAGTTACAGTCTTTTTGCCAGGCTGACACAGTTTCAGTATTTACTAAGAAATCCAATAATTTAACATTACAAAATTATCTTCGGCAAATTTTTTTGACTTCCTTCCAGAAGGCTCAGGAGACTGTCCTCATCTGCCCCTGCAGCATGTGTTTCTACTGCTACTTTCAATTTTATTTCTCTATATTTTGCAGTAGTCCTAAATGGTTTAATTTTTTTGAAAAATTGCATAGTTTAACAATATGATCAAAATTCAAATGATCTTATATGAGTTTCTATTTTACATTTGTTTTGGTGTTAGGGAAATTCTTTTCCATCATTAGGCAAATACAAAATATATTATTGCAAAATGCCAAGTATTTCCATTCCCACTGGAAATGGAAATTATGTTTATGGAAATATTGTTAAATGTAGTCAAATTGTTACATATTCAGATTCATATCAAGTATTCATTTTATGTATTCTTCTGTATTGTATGCAAAATATGTTCTTTTATCTATTCATTTTAAAATCTATATTAAGAATGCACTGATCTTGTAAATCTTATAGTACATCCAAGGTGGTATTAAGAATTTCACTGACTGTCATACAGTTGTATATTTATTGCAGGAGACAGTAATTAATAATTATTTTCATTACAATCAAAATGTAAACCTTAATATGATCAAGGCAGTATGTATATATCCTTGATATGGTGAAGATAACAATGCAATTGCAAAGGTTGATAAAATGGAAATTTGAGTTTTTGAATCATAATTTTGAATTTATTCCAGCTGATTTAGAAGAGATGACACATCATACATACATACATACATACATGCATACATACATACATACAATGTGCATTTATTCTGATGTGGAATTTGTATATTTTTTGAAACATGGACCAAGAAATAGCCATTCTCTACACTCTCAGTATACTCATTTATATATACATGTACTTAAGTACATTTAACATCTTAATCATTTAGGTATATCATCTACCCAGTTTCTGATTTCAGGAAATACAGTGCTTTTACTAGCATATATCTTGATACTTGTCAGCAGAAAACGGTGATTTATGAGCCTACTGGCCATTTCAGCAGACTCCAAGAGATAATGAAATTTAAAAGTAATTACCATGATAACCCATATATAAAGCTTGTCAACCCTTTTTTTTTGGATTTAAAGGAAGCTGAAGACTAGAGACCATTGAACTCATGCTAGGGGAAAAATGCTCTTCATTAATATTGATGGTTTGTCTGTGCAAAATGTTGTTCTTCGCAGTGTCTTGAAGCTCCTCTAAGTAGGAAAATAAAGAAAAAACAATCATTGTCCTGGTGATCTGTTGGTTTCAATGTTCTTTTTCTAGATATAAATGTATTATTATGCCCCTGGGTTATCAAGTACTTACCATCTGTTTGATCAGCTTTTGCCATTTTAACATTGCATGTGATCCAGTCATTTAGCAAGTGCTAATACAATTCATTTCTCTCAGCATAAAAGTTAAAAAGTTGCAAGTGCTTTAATGGATACAGTTAAGTGGTGCAGTTATTATTGGAAAAGATTAAGCAATTTAGTCTTTACAACCATACATCATATAGCATCAATCAAATGTAAATTGCCTTGTTTTGTTTAAAAAAGAATAATATTCAATTATGTACATAAATAAAGAAACCACCAGTAAATTGCATCATTTGACTTTAATTTGTTAAAAGGCTCAAGGCAGGATAACAATCACAATAAATGTAATCAAATTCTATATCATCTTGGGGGCTTTGGATGTAGGCATGAAAAAATGGTTCATATTTGTGTACAATAGAACCTAACTAATAAACATGTATACCCGGTATAATGCCACAAACAGGTACATATATATTATACCACAGCTGCATTCAAAATAGAGGAACACCCTCATATGATACATATGGTGTTTGTTCTGATGGGTGTTAAGATGCCAAAACGGTCTCAGAGGACTTCCCAGTGACCACAAGTGCAAGCAAGCCCAGAAGTGCTGGGGCTGGTTACAAAAGTGTTGTAGGGGGAGGTTTAACATCTGAAATTCTGGTCTATTTTAACCAAGGATAAATCTACCTTTTTTTTGCAAAAGGTCTTGCTCACTGTGCATTCACTTTGAAAATTAATGTTGATTGAGTTGTGTAAGATACTAGTATGAAAGCATATGTTAGTTGCTTTCCAATGCTTACAA